AGATTGGGTTGTCTTGAGGTTTGTGCCAATGCTTGGGAAGAGATATGACACGAACCAGTGTTTCCCTCGGGATTTTGTGAGACTTGCGGAGGCAGGTGACGTCACATATTAATTAGCATATTTATGATGTCATTGCGTCGGGTTTGCATTCAGACAAGTTTGGCACTTAGATCTCTCTTCTACTCTCTGAACGGTCACATACTGTAATACAACTGAATGCCCGATAAAGCTGTTCCCATTTACATATTTTCTGTTGTTATACATAAAACAAGTATTGTTTATATATAATGTGGATATTGTGGAGGGCCACCACAAGTAAATCAATGTATGGATGGAAAACACTGGTTGATCCAGTTTGCCGCGTTGGATGAAGAGTCGACGACGCTAAGGATGGGCGGATCGATCCTTAAGTATCGATACTTTAGATACTGATGTTGTTTTGAAAGGATCGATCCTCCCAGTGTTGGGGAAAGTTACTTTTAAAAGTAATGCATTGCAATATTGCATTACTCCATAAAAAAGTAACTAATTGCGTTAAATCTGATTACGTAAGGCTCGTTACTTGTAATGCGTTACCCCCAACACTGATCCTCACATAAAAACATCGATTCTAAAGTGCATTTTTTATTCATTCATTTTATTTATTTATCAAGAAATTCGGTGGATAAAATAAGCTTCTAAGTGGAACAAATAGATTATATTAGCGAATAATTGTGTTAGCACATATTACCTAAACCACATATTGATATGTTTTATATTTTTAAAATGAAAACGAAATGAGGGTTGTGTTTTATATTTTGAAGAAAACGACAAGGCAGTGGTGTTTGATATCATTTCGCTTTATTATAATTCGTGTACGCGTTGCATGAACCACATTTTTGTGAGCCTATTTATATTTTAAATGAAACAGAAAAGAGTCAATGCTGTTTGATATAATATTTTGTTTCACTGTAATGTGTACGTTCCCTGAACTACATTTTTGCGGCTATTAATATGTTTAAATGAAAACGAAAAGAGTGTTTGATATCATATTTCGTCGTATTGTAAATGCATACAGTGAGGATAACCGGAGTAGCCAAGGCGAGCTGAGGGCCGTTATCAAGTAGGCTATACTCTGCTGTTCCTTTTGCGGAATTACCGGACTTGCGTCCTCCCGTCCTCGGGAGTTGGTATTGAGAAACGGCCACTGTCCCGCATAGTTTAGCTCCAACCCTACTCAGACACACCTGAACAAGCTAATCATGTCTTCAAAATCACTAGAAAGCTACAGGCAGATGTGTTGGATTCGAGTTGGAGCGAAATTCTGAAGGACAGTGGCCGGCAGGACCAAAGTTGCCCAGCCCTGATAAAGAATCTACAAAAAAAATGAATGAATGAATGTTTTTTTTTACACATCCATGAACATCCAGGGTTACATGTGACCCGAGGGTCAACTGTGGTTTTCACAGGATACTATGCACATTTATCAGCAGATCAAATTTGAGTTTGTACACCTGTCTGAAGTCCAGCAAGAACAAAGTGCTGTTGACAACCTACTTTGTGACAAGAGTCATTTACAAGGTTGGTAAATGAGCACCAGTTGCCACAACACAAAGCATATATGTGACCCTGGACCACAAAACCAGTCATAAGGGTCAATTTCTCGAAATTGAGATTTGTACATCATCTGAAAGCTGAATAAATAAGCTTTCCATTGATGTATGGTTTGTTAGGACAATATTTGGCTGAGATACAACTATTTGAATATCTGGAATCTGAGGGTGCAAAAAAATCTTTAAAGTTGTCCAAATGAAGTTCTTAGCAATGCATATTACTAATCAAAAATTAAGTTTTGATATATTTACGGTAGGAAATTTACAAAATACCTTCATGTAACATGATCCTTACTTAATGTCCTAATGATTTTTGGCATTAAAAAAAAAATAGATAATTTTGACCCATACAATGTTTTTTTGGCTATTGCTACAAATATACCCCAGCGACTTAAGACTGGTTTTGTGGTCTGGGCTCACATATTTGCAAGAATATGCTCACAAATGTGCATTCTCTGGTTCATGCAAGTGAACACAGAAAGACATGTCTGGCCTGAAATAGCACATTTTATTGTAAAACATTATACTGTATTATTGATGCTGCATGCTGTTACAAAATAAACAAGTCTGTTTCATTTTGTTTTATGAGTAATTTTGAACATAGGAAGTCAAGTTATTTTTAATCATAATGTCTCCACCAGAGGTCACTATTGCATTGAGTCCTGTGTGTTCTCAGGTGTTCTCACCTGACTCTCATGTAGGCTACTATTTGTGTATTTCCTGCTTTTAAGTCAGTTTGTGTATTGTATGTCCGTAGACTATCATTTGTCTGACTGCTTTTTTACTGTGCGTTTGCCGTTTGAATTTGTCCTACTGCCTGTGGAGTATTTTAAGATAAAGATGTTTTAATGTCTATATTAATAGGCCACGGGGTGGATCCGTATGTCTCTTCAGCCCATCAACAAGACAAATTGTCTGGAACGGACAACCAGCAGAATGACTACAAGAGCATCGTACCTGAAGTTTTAGAAGAATCCCTGACAAACGAGAAATGTCACATTGTAAACGTCTGTTGAACTGAAACTGAACATTTGTGATCTGATGATGCTGGCAGCCAGTTTGCCAAATCTAGTAAAGAATCAGATGCTTTTTTCAGCATGTACATACATGCTTTATCACATCTGTCTGGGGTTATCCAGTGTCGATGTAGATTAGCTGGTTCGAGGTTCATGTGCTCAGAAGGCTCAGAATGATCTCGGCGTTTTTGCCCTGATTCAAATGAAGTTCGGACAAGATCGGAAAGGTCCACGAACTGGGATTGAGTCGCTCGAAGCTCAACCGCACCGGGTGTGTCAAGCGCTGGCTTTCATGCGTTTTTTTTTTTTTCAGAGTAATTTCCGATCCGATACTTCTCTAGTCTGAAACTTCCGTCTTTCAGCATACCAGATAGATAGTGTAATCATGTGGCGCTGAACACGTTGCTATCATATGCGACAAAGAACTCGTTTTTTTTTTATCAAGAGCTCTTAAAAGCGGTGAGGACTTGAATTTGCTACATTAATTCCAGACATGTTGCACAATGTGACTCTTGTTGAATAATTGAATGAGACAAATGTCAAATTTAGCAAATAAAACAACGATTAGCTTCCACTGTGCTGTAGTTTTTGTCTTTCACACAGACCAAACATAGTGGTAGCCTAACTTTTATTTAATTCAAAATACCTTTTAATATCAAGTGTTTTTATTCTCGTTGGTGAAAGGGTCCGATCACTTCCCTTTCATTGTTGTTGTTGTTTTTTTTTTAGATCAGATTATGTCAAGCACAAATGGCTCATTGCTGTGCCGTCTGGGTGTAGTAGTGACATTGGCAGGTGTCATCTCTATGAGCATCATGTTTTCCCGGTTCTCACCTTCACACAACTGTCCACCGCCACTTCCTAAACCTAAACTAAACTCAGAACAAAACTGTGCCAAGAGCAACAACTCTCTTACTGATATAGCAAAGGAGAAACCTATAGTTCTGTTATGGGTTTGGCCTGAAAGCTATAGGTTTGATTTCAGTGACTGCAAAGAGTTTTACAATATTGATAATTGTCATCTGACGGATGATAGAGCTCTGTACAACGATGCAGATAATGTCATCGTTTATCACAGAGGCATCAGCTGGGATCTGTCCAACCTTCCTCCGTCTCCTCGTCCTCCGTTCCAGAGGTGGATTTGGTTGCATTTGGAATCGCCAACCAACACCAAAAGGATCCCAGGTCTGGAAAACCTGTTCAATCTCACTCTCAGCTACAGACGGGATGCTGATATTCCTGTACGGATGCGCTTGATGACCAGGAAGAAACCTAATGAGGATTTTGTGATTCCCAAAAAGGACAAACTGGTGTGTTGGATTGTAAGTAACAACGATCCCTCAACTGGTGTCGACACAAGGAATGTTTTTTACAGAGAATTCAGGAAATACATACAAGTGACTTTGTTCGGAAGGGCTTATGCAAGGTTCCTGGATTATACTGATTACTATCCAACCCTGGCTAGCTGCAAATTTTACCTTGCCTTTGAGAACTCCATCCACAAGGACTACATCACTGAGAAGATAAACGGGCCGCTCGCAGCAGGTACCGTCCCTGTGGTGTTGGGTCCTCCGAGAAGAAACTATGAAAACTTTGTTCCTGCGGAGTCCTTCATTCATGTGAATGACTTCCCTGATGTAAAGTCACTAGCCAAATATCTGCTTCAGCTGGACAAGAATGAAGATGCATATCGCAAGTACTTTAACTGGAGGAAACATCTCACTCCAAGTCCTCATTTAATATTACAGACACAAGAGTTTATTCTGGCTATTTGCACTGCCTGTGACCATGTAGCACGGCACAAGGAATATAAAGAAGCTCATGATCTCTATGATTGGTACTTCAATTAAAGTTACCTCAGGTTTTGGAGTTTGATACAAATAGTGATTCATTTTACTCTACAAATATTTTTAATAATAAAGTTTATGGATGTTATCACTTGTGTTTGTAGGCCTATCTTTTCATCTTCAAGTCCCTTTTAAATCACTTTTGGATCATATTCTGGAAGAAAGACAACAATAAGTTTGTGTACAGTATACATCGGCTACATTTTTCTGTCTTGTTGTTGTCTGGTTGTTTTTTTACATGCGACAAGTGACAGAATGTTTACCAAAAAATCACTATTGCAAAGACACAGACCAGAATACTTGTATGTCTAGCTTGTTAGCAACACAATTTTTGTTTGTAATTTGGTTTTGTAATGTAAATTCGAATTACATGAATATAAGGTAGTGTCTCTGAAACGGTCAACTCAACTCTGCACTCGTAAATTTATTATACACTTAATATGCAATGCATATAATGTACAATAATCATGGTTTTTTTTTTTTTTACAAAAGGTCAAATGTAAACGCTTTTGTCGCCAGGACAAAAGAGGGCGCCAGAACGCCGAGTCAAGCAGGAAGACGTGTTTTTAATTCTACAGCAGAGATGTTCTGGATTAAGAAGTGCTTTCAGTTGTATTTTAAACCAGGAGAGCAGTATTATTTTTAATTCGTCTTTAAACTCATCAGCTATTTGTTTTATAACTCCGGTTTAGCGTTTTATTTTCTTCAGCACGTCAACGTCTTACGTTTTTACTCGTTTAAATGAATTAAACCCCGTAGGAAATACGTACCTTAAAGGTTTGTATTTTTTGTTAAATGAGTTTCATACAGTTTAAGTACTAGTTTTAATGTATTTTAATGTGTTACTCTCTAAAAAAAAATTCTCAAATACTCTGATTCTCTCAAATGCTGTGAACTTCCATATTCAGTCATAGTTTATAACCCTTTCAGACATAGAATTTATTTCAGGTATTAGTTTATTCAGCCATAAACGAGCAACAAACCATTAAACAAACGTGTGCACGGGTTTAGGGTCATTTTTTGAGGTGATTTCTGCCTGTAATCACAAGGATCCACTTTTACGATTCAATCCAACAACTTTCATCCCTGTTATGAGATGTATAACATCAATAAACATTTACCACCCCATTTTACCTTATGAAGTTAATATGCTTTTAGTTGCATACATATTTTAATACATTGTTATTCTGTAACATGTTACTTTCAGAGAACACATTAAAAATAACTATGTAAGGACCATCACTTTTCCTCAATCTAAAAAAACATTTATGTTATGAGATGGAAATATTCCTGCTTTAAATAATGCCAAGTGCCAGAAAGGGTTAATGCGGGGGTCTTCAAACTGGGGGCCACAAGAGTGTGGAAAAATGTAGAGAAAAACAGTGTAACATTTAAAAAAATAAATAAACAATTAAGATGAACTAAAAACAAATATTTAGAATAAAATAATTAAATGATGAAAATTATCAATTGATTTTAAAATGGATTTAAATAAATAATCCATCTATCATCATCATCCATCCACCATCATTACTATAGTGAGTAGAAAAATGTAATGACGTGTGTGTGTGTGTGTTTTTTCCACATTAAAATTAGCTGAAAATGTATAGCTGCTTTTACATTTTAGAATTATTTGCAGCAGGATGATCATATTTGGGGGTCTGTGACACACAAAAGATTGAGAACCAGTTAAAGATGTGTTTTGATCTGATATTTCTCTGAAATGCTGTGCAGTGCCCTGTGTGTGTCACAATGCCGGTCCAGTGCAGTAACTGCGTCCAGAGACGTGCTGTGCTCAAACGGCCCAAGACCGGACACTCTCTCTGTAAGGACTGCTTCTTCTGGGCATTCGAGGAGGAGATCCATCAAACCATCGTGTCCGCCGGACTCTTTAACCGTGGAGAGACCGTGGCCATCGGTGCCTCGGGCGGAAAGGACTCTACCGTCCTGGCCCATGTGATGAAGGTCCTGAACGAGCGCTACGATTACGGCCTGAGCCTTCTGCTGCTGTCGGTGGATGAGGGCATCACGGGCTACAGAGATGATTCGCTGGAGACGGTGAAGAGGAACCAGCAGCAGTATGAGCTGCCACTGAAGATCGTGTCTTATGAAGAGCTGTACGGCTGGACCATGGACGCCATCGTGAAGCAGGTGGGATTGAAGAATAATTGCACTTTCTGCGGTGTGTTTCGCAGGCAGGCACTGGACCGAGGAGCCATGATGCTGAAAGTGGACAAGATATGCACAGGCAAGTGATCAGTGTCTTTCACTGCCTTTACCAGTTTGATCAAGCATGTCTGAGATTTTAAACATTCTGCAAGACAAATCATGTGTTTCGGTGTTAATAAATTACATTGTACCATCTCAACCTTAAAGGGTTAGTTCACCCAAAAAATGAAAATTCTGTCATTAATGAACGAAGGTCTTGCGGGTTTCGAACAACACGAGGGTGAGTAATTAATGACAGAATTGTCATTTTTGGGTGAACTAACCCTTTAATATATTGGCAAGTATGTTTGGAAATAGAGATATATTTACATTCTTTCAAGATCCTCTTTCAAATAATGCAAAGAACATTTCTTATAATGATTTAAAAAAGTAATTATGTCACTGATGAATGGTCATGTTATTGTTCTGCCTTTTATTTATGGTTATTTAAATTATTATTATTATTTTATTTTTTTAGGCAAGATATCACTTTAAAATGTTTGTTTCCTGTGGTAATGCATAAATTAACCTTTTTGTAATCAAAAACATTATTTAATATGACTGAGTCATCCTGAATATATTAGGTTACTCCTACAAAACCTTAAGGATAATTTATAAGGATTTATAATTATATTTTATGATATTTATACAGTGTAACGCTTAGTTAATTTTTTCCTGTTTCATCTCTTACATTATTCTGAAATACTTTCTGAACTCCTATAGAAATGAAAGTGACAAGGGTAGATCAAAAAATCATCCTCGTGAACAAAGAAAAAAGTTCAATAGAGTTAACTCTTCTCTTTTATGGAGGACCAAGCCTGCAGAAATGAAAATTAAATATAGAAATAAATGAAACGGACCAGATCTGACACTTTTCTACCAAAGATGCAGAAAGGACCAGCTCCCTTATTTCCATGTTACATACAGAAAAGTAAAAGTAAATAAATGTATAAATATACAAATAAATGAAAAAGAAAGTATAAAATGAATTATATAATTTCTTCCTTTATTTTCCTATTCTTTCTTTTTTCTGCAAGTTTGGCCCTCCATACCTTTTTTTTTTTTTTTTTTTTTTTTAAAGAAAAATAGATAAAATAAATGTTTTTTCCAAGGCTGATAGGTAGAATGATGTTTGTTTTGTTTATTGAGCAGGTCACAATGCAGACGACGTGGCAGAGACGGTGCTGATGAATGTCCTGCGTGGAGATATCGCTCGTCTCTGCCGCTGCACCTCCATCAGCACTGCCAGCGACGGAGAGGGTGCCATCCCACGCTGCAAGCCCCTCAAATACGCCTACGAGAAAGAAATCGTTCTCTACGCCTATTTTAAGAAGCTCGATTACTTCTCCACAGAGTGCATCTACTCGCCCAACGCCTACCGGGGACACGCTCGCGCCTTCCTCAAAGACCTGGAGTCCATCAGGCCCAGCTCCATCATAGACGTCATCCACTCCAGCGAGACGCTCTCTATAAAGGAAGGGGTGAAGATGCCGGTGCAGGGAACGTGCTCGCGCTGCGGCTACATCTCCAGTCAGGCCCTGTGTAAGTCCTGTGTTCTGCTGGAGGGCCTGAATCGAGGTTTACCCAAACTGGGCATCGGGAAACATCACCGTCTGCACGGCAAAATTCTGGCTCAGGAGCCTTTGACCGAACAGGAGGAGAAGAAACTGAAGCCTGTGAACTGCAATTGCAGGTTGTAGCTCCAGACAAGAGAAGAAAAAAAAAACTAATAAATAGAATCACAGATTTGATCTAAGATTTATTATGTGAACATTAAATAATTAAAGAGAAAATACCATCCGCAAAGATATGCTGTATCAACAGTCGAAATAGCACATTTGACAGGTATTTTTGCTTAATTGGATAATGCTTTTCAATCAGAACACAGAATTCTGATGATTTCCTCATATTATCAATGCAGAAAACCTCTCAAGCCATTCTTTGTAACCTGGATGTTTTGAGAGTAGTTTGCTGATTTGTTTGTACTCAGAACAGACCTGTTTTGTGTGAGTGATTGATTGATAATAGCAGGGAGTTGAGAGACAGTTTTGTATAGTTTTGTATTTATTGATTTTGTGAACTGCTGGTCAGATAATAACTCCATAGGATGGGTGTGTCCTCTTGGGGATAAACTGACTCCACCCATAACCGCCTTCATCCCACTGCAGCCCCTCTGTGACCTCAAGCAAACTAGATTGTTATATTAGTATTAGCCACATTACCACATAATACAATAATGTAGAGTCTGATTTGATGCACAAACTTTTAGCTATATTAAAGGAATAGTTAATCCAAAAATGACAATTTACTGAAAATGTCCTCACCCTCAGGCTATCCAAGATGTAGATGAGTTTGTTTCTTCATCAGATTTGGAGAAATTCCATCACTTGCTCACCAATGGATCCTCTGCATTGAATGGGTGCCGTCAGAATGAGAGTCCAAACAGCTGATAAAAGCATCGCAAGTAATCCACACCACTCGCAGTCCATCAGTTAACATCGTGAAAAGCTGCATGTTTGTAAGAAACACATTCATCAGGACGTTTTTAACTTCAAATGCTTCCTCCAGTGAAAAAGTCTGTCTCCTGTTGTCCTCTCGCATCAAAATCCCCCAGCATATTTGTTTAGAGCTGTTTTGGACCATTTTGGCTTATAAACGGTTCTTGGTCTGTGCACATTTTTCTCCTGATTCAGACAAGATGACCTTTTCAGTGGAGAATACAATATCACGGATAGAGGATTCGTATTTTAGCAGGAAGCAATGGTTTGAAGTAAAAACTTAAAGGGGGCATATGATGTTGCTAAAAAGGACATTATTTTGTGTATATTTGGTGTAATGAAATGTGTTTATGCGGTTTAAGGTTAAAAAACACATTATTTTCCACATAATGTACATTATTGTTTCTCCTCTATGCCCCGCCTTTCTGAAACGCGTCAATTTTTACAAAGCTCATCGTTCTGAAAAGCGAGGTGTGCTCTGATTGGCCAGCTATTCAGTGCGTTGTGATTGGCCGAATTCCTCAAGTGTGTGACGGAAATGTTACGCCCCTTATCATACTGTGATGCCGTGTCCCGGAGCGACGAGACAAAACCAATAAAACCCATTATAAACTAGGCATTTGTTGCATCCAGTGGGGACATAATTACGGATTATAAATGACTTATATTGTCTTTTTACGCATTGCATTGCATCGCGCCGCGTAAACGTAAAACCGGCGGTGGCAGCAACAATAAAGTTACACCTTCTTTCTTTGCGTGAACATTTGGGCGGTGTTATGCAAATCTTCCCACACAGTGACATAGACATGTGGGTGCTTGTTTAAACGAGGCATTTTAGGAGGGCGTGGACTAGTCTTAACTTTTATAAAGAATATCTCTTTGGGTTTGAGACTTTAGTCTTTGCAACTTTAGGGATCTTATCTATTCACGAACAGATTGTAACACTCCAAAGAGAAAGGAAAACTTGAAATCGCATCATATGACCCCTTTAATGAATGATTTGTTTCTTACAAACACACAGCTTTTTTCAGTCATTTATTGATAGACTGGAGTTGTGGTGAGTTGAACTATTCCTTTAATAAGCTTATTTATTTTGCTGGCCAAACTATGCATTGCCTTTTATGACACGGCTCTTATTCTGATTGCTCAGTTGCAGCGTTGAGCGGTCAGATATTCCTAAATAATGACCATTGTCCAGGACAGCACTGTATAAAAGACCACTCATCTGGTCAGTGTTTCCTACATAGCCTTCTGTCTCTCTGCCGTCTCTACAGAGTCAGATAATAAAATAATTTTATATCAGATCAGCATTTGCTCAGACAGCAAGGTAAGATGTTCTATTCCCAGGGAACGCATGAACTGATGAACTGCATAGCTTGAATGCAATGTAAGTCGCCTGGATAAAAGCCTTTGCTAAATGCATAAATGTAAATGTATATTCTAGGGATGCTCCGATCCGCTTTTTTCACCTCTGATTCCGATACCTAGGGTTCAGTATTGGCCGATACCGATCCGATACCAGTGAAGTTGTTTTTTTTTCCATTTAAATAAATGTAGAATTTATATATCTCTGTGTGGAACTGATAATCATTCTTTCACAATCTGCTAAATACAGACTACTTCATTCTAAAGAAAAATAAACAATAAATATGAAAAAATATATGTATATTCATAATCTATGACAAAAATATATCATAAACTAGGTTAGTGGATAATTCGGCAGCAAAAGTTATTCTAGAAAAATCAGTGCACAATAATTTTAGAAATCCAAACATTTAGTGAAAAAACAATATTTTGTGGGGAACAAATAAAAGTGTTGCACTAAATATGGTAAAATGTTACACATTGCTATTTGTGTTATAAAATCTATTAACGAAAAACATTAATGAATGTATTTATATATAAGTATATACTATAAAATTAAAAGATATTTCTTTTAAATGTATAGCATATTTTTTAATAAGGCAATCTATATGATAGATTCGATAGGACAAAACAAATACAGAGCGGCACGAAGCGCTTACAATATGCGCATCCGGTGTGCAGAATGATGCGCTTGAAGCAACACGGAGTCCACAGCACGCAGCGCTTTGCATTAAAAAGTGCAAAGCACAAAGGGAAGAGAAATTGATGTGTAATGTATTATATCTGTGCAACAGTTATTGAGCCTTTCTTTTAACAGTTTTAAATTTCAGTTACTGTGCGCATTAAAAACAATTTATAGTCTTTTCTACGCCCGTGTTTTGTTCTCACAGACACCCGGTAGCAAGTAACAAAACAACATT